AAACTTGTACAACCACTTTGGAAATCAATCTGGTGTGTTCTCAGACAATTAGGAATAGAGTTACCTCAAGATACCACTCCTAAGCATATATCCAAAATATGCTCAAGTACACAAAAAGGACATTTGTTCAACCATGTTCATAGCAGCTTTATTCGTAATAGTCAGAATCTGAAAACCACCCAGATGTCCCTCAGCTGAGGAATGGATACAGAAACTGTGGTGCATTTACACAATGAAATACTACTTAGCAATTTAAAACGAGGAAATCATGAAAATTTCAGGTAAATGGTATGAACTAGAAAAGATCATCCTGAGTGACGCATCTCAGAAGCAGAAAAACACACACGTACTCACTTATAAGGAGGTATTAGGCATATAATGTAGGATAAACATACTAAAATCTGTACACCTAAAGAAGCTAAGCAAGAAGGAGGACCCTGGGTAAGATGATCAATCCTCACTCAGAAAGGCAAATGGGATGGACATCAGAAGCTGGAGAAAACAGAGAACAGGACAGGAGCCTACCCACAGAGGGTCTCAGAAAGACGCTATGCAGCAAGGTATCAAAGCAGATGTTGAGACTCATAGCCAAACTTTGGGTAGAGTTTAGGGATTCTTATGAAAGAAGCGAGAGATAGAAAGACCTGGAGGGGACAGAAGCTCCAGAAGGAGAGCAACAGAACCAAAAAATTTGGGTCTTTTCTGAGACTGATACTCCAACCAATGACTATGCATGGAGATAGCCACTGCATAGATGTAGCCCATGGCAGCTCAGTATCCAAGTGGGTTCCCTAGTAGTGGGAATAGGGACTGTCTCTGATCTGAATTCAGTGACTGGCTCTTTGATCACCTCTCCCTGAGGGGGAATCTGCCTTACCAGGCTACAGAGGAAGACAATGCAGCCAGTTTTGATGATACCTGATAGGCTAGGGTCAGAGGGAATGGGAGGAGTACCTTCCCTATCAGTGGACTTGGGGAGAGGCATGGGATGAAATGAGGAAGGGAGGGTGGGATTGGGATGAGGAAGGGAGGGGACTACAGCTGGGATACAAAGTGAGTAAACTGTAATTTAACAAAAAAGAAATTGATTAAAAAATAAAAATATATTAATTAAAACATTCCTCTCTGTATAGAAAATATAGAAATGAAAACAAAACCAAAAATGGACAGAGGATCATGATCTTTACCTCTGACTTTTCTGCTACTAATTAGCTCTAGGAAGTTAGAACTGCCATGTTTAGTTGTATACCTATTGCTAAGCCCACCAAATTCCATCCATTAATACCAAACATATGATCACAGAGATACCCCGGTTAATCTCAGTGTGTCACAAATCAAAATGAATAGATACAAACATCAGAGAGAGATTCATGGCAGACATGAGTTAAGAGCAGTGGTGAGGAGGTGGGAGGTTAGAGTGGACAGCATGCATTGTGTACATGTGCAAAATTAACTAAAATCAAATTTAAGCAAAAAATAATTTGAAAACTCAACTTGTGCACCAAGTTGAGTTATAGAGATGAAGTTATATTCTTCATCTCTACATAAAAGGCTAAAAAGACTATGTAAGTGACAATAGCTCTTTTTAATGGGTTTTAAGAACTAGCATGTCCATTAAACAGTCTTTTTTTTTTTTTCCTAGTGGAAAACTCTTGCCGGGAAGAAATAATGGTAGCTGCCAGCCTCAAGCAGATTTGTATTACTGTTATAAAATTAGGAAAGTAAGTGCTTACAATAAATAGTGACATCATCTAAACTGCAGCAACATGAATGTCATCATAATAAAGAGACTCTCAAATCTAACAGAGACAAAAATGAAATAATTATTTGCCTTTAAATAAATTACTTTGGACTATGCAAACCAGGGGCCACCCAAATAGAATTAGGCCATATGTTATGAGACTATCACTTTACAAAGCTTTACAAATCTTCAATTTGAAGATTCATATATATTCGTTTTTGAAATGTTTAAAACTATTGAGCTTTGTGTCAAAGTTGAAGTTCAGAATTGCAAAGAATTGAGATGTGTTGTGTCTACTGTAAGCCACCTTTCCTCATTCTGCATAACTCCTGGCTTAAGGCATGTGCTTGTTTTTATTTTATTTTATTATTTATTTATTTTTTTACTCCATCGTCCTTAACCATCAGAGAGATGCAAATCAAAATGACCCATCAGAATGGCTAAGATAAAAAACTCAAGTGACAACACATGCTAGAGAGGTTGTGGAGAAAGGGGAACCCTCCTCCATTGCTGGTGGGAATGTAAACTGGTACAACCACTTTGGAAGTGAACTGTCTTAACATCTGCTATGATCTTTGCCAAACTGTGCTGCTTTGAATTACTGCAGGCACAGATCATTGCTGATTACAGAAGTTTAAAATTTAATTTATTTGTTTATTACAATTTATTCACTTTGTCTCCGGCTGGAGCCCCCTTCCTCATCTCCTTCCAGTCCCTTCCACCCTCCCTCTTCTCCCTCTACTTCCCCAGCCCACTGATAGGGGAGATCCTCCTCTCTTTCCATCTGACGCTAGTCTATCAGGTCTCATCAGGGCTGGCTGCATCATCTTCCTCTGTGGCCTGGTAAGGCTGCACCCTCCCCCAGTAGGAGATGATCAAAGAACCAACCACTTAGTCCATGTCAGAGACAGCCCTTACCCCCCCCTTACTAGCGAACCCACATGGAGACTGAGCAGCCTATGGGCTTCCTCTGATCAGGGGCTCTAGGTACTCTCCATGCACTGGTTATAGTCAAATAAGAAACTAAATCTAATGTATTTTCTTTACCTGACCTCCTATTTAACTGTGATGAGGTCTCATGAATTACAGGGTATCTTAAGACTTGCTCTTTCTTCACCTTCCCCTGAAGTGGGTGGGGGGAGCAGCCTTACCAGGCCACAGAAGAAGACAATGCAGCCACTCCTGATGAGACCTGATAGATTAGGATCAGAGGGAAGGGGAGGAGGACCTCCCTTATCAGTGGACTGAGAGAGGGACATGGGTGGGGAAGAGGGAGGGTGGGATTGGGGGGGGAGGAGGGAGACAGGTACAGGGGGGATACAAAGTGAATAAAATGTAATTAATAAAAATAAAAATAATAAAAAAGAAAAAAGCTCATCACAATGTTCCTGTGTTTATAAGAACATTATGTGAATCGCTTCCCTTTTTACAATCTCAAGGTTAGAAATATGTCCATCTTTGCAGATTACATTACTAAGTTCTGTTCTATTAATTGCTTGACCATTGAATCACTATTTGCTCCAACATCTTTTAAAGGAGGTCCCTAACAATCTCTTTGTTGGTAACCAATGATCAATCTGAAAATAAAAGAAGAAACAAAAAGGAATAGGTTCCTTGACTTAGTGCAGTTCTTTTCAATATGGTGACAATGGATGCCAACACCTAAGACATCCAAATCTGAATGTAGCTTTGCAGATTGAGCAAGGACCAAGCAATGCGATACTCTAAAAGCTTGCACTGACAGGTGAGTTTAGAATACAGCAAGCATGGATTAATCCTCGAAATGTGTCTTATTATATGTAAAATTATTACTCATTTAAAAATTATAAATGTTTGTAGATTTGACATCTTTTGTAACTGTCTGAACAGAATCAGTATGTCTAAAACAAATCAGCTAACAAAGTAAGCACAGGAGCAACAAGGTGCAGAAAGAATCCCTATGAGTGATCTGTGATATGGATGTTGCCTGTAAAGATAGATACGATGGTGGGGCAAGCAATTTAACACAGAAGTCTCAGTGAGTTTCAGAGCCCCACCCTGTTGCTTGCAAAAAAGCATCTGATCAAGTAATTTCATTTTGACCATTAAAAGGACCAATAAAGATATGCTTATTCAATAAAGGTAGCAATATGCTGATACCATTGCTCTATGCTAATTAGACTATAGCTCTAAACACTCACCTATATCATCACATTATGCTAACCACATTCTCCTGAAGGAAGCATTAATTCTACCTCAGAGATGAAAAAAAAATCCCATTTAGAAAAGCTTTGAGAATAAACTGAAGTAATGTCCATGGAATTTAAATTCAGGCCTTTAAACTCTGGATCCACATGTTTCTTAACATCGTACACCACAGCATATTTCCTTAATGCCCTTTACAGCATGTCCCTTTTATGATTTATATGGATTAGAATTATTTATAAAGTCACTGTGATGGCTGGTCCAGAAAAATAATGAAATGACCTTAAATATTTATATTGTCCAATATCTAATAGCCTTATGAAAAAACAAAATAAGCACAAAGAATTCATGTAATGGTTCTTAGTCTTGACTTTGACTTTCCCACTTTAAAAGAAATCAAAAACACCAGCTCCATAATAGGACCTTTTAAATTTATGTTACTATACTTTCTATTTAATTTTTTAAAGATTTAGCAATTTATTTTTAAGTTTGTGAACACATGGGTTCCTGAATGAGTTTTTGTGTACAATATGTACACACATGTTTACAGAGGCCATAGGGGGTTGAAATATCTGAAACTGGAGTTAAAAGTCAATTGTGAGGTGCTTAATATAGGTACAGGGAACCCAAACCAGGTCCTCTGGAAGAGCAGTAAGTGCTCTTAATTACTGAGCCGGCCCACTTGTTACAATTAATAAAATGTAGATACTATCAAGGCATGTGGCTAAATTTGGTAAGAGTTGAAAAGAAGGTGGAATTTGGGAAGATTTATGTAATATCAAATTTGAACTATTACATATAAACCACCACCACTACTACCATCAACACCAACACCATCACCAACAAAACCAAGAATCACAATAGGTAAAAGAACCAGTGAGTAACACATAGTATGTTTTTTTTTTCTACACAATGTTGGATCACACTACATATTCCATCACACACACCAAAAACAAAAAAACATAAAAACAAACCCCCACAATTTAAGCATCTACAAACATCTAGTCTCAATTTCCCAGTTACACTAGATCACTATTAAGAGAATCTAAATTATTTTTTTAAAGGAGAAACTTACCCCTCCCCATTTTTTTCTTGTGGCTTCTGGCAGGTCCTGGATGACAATTCTCTGAACAAAACAAAACAAATACACAGTCAGATTTACAGAGGCTGAGTCAGTACATTCAATAAGCTCCATTACAGCTGATATATAGTCAGTGTGAGCATTTCTTTTCATTGCATTCTAATCTTGATCCCTGACAAAACTGTTTTCTCGATCACAGCTACCTACCCTCAGAGGACAGAAACAGTATTCTGGAAAGCTTGGGCTGTCTATATCAATTTACTATGATATTATTTATCTGCTAATATTTTTGGGCTTACCAAATAAAATTCATTAAATTGGCCACGTGCTTATTTTTTAGGAGGATAGCCATATCAACAAAAAATGACAGGCAAAAATGCCAAAGGCTCAATGTAAATACAAAGGCTAGCATGTTATTAGCCTGCCTGTCTCTTCCTTCCTTTCATCACTGTGACAAATACAATATTCTTTCCAGTGTAACATTTTCCTGAATGGTGTCAACAGCATTGCCCTTAATCAAATTGTGCTTGAGGCATAGCAGCCACCGTTATTTCCAGTAAACATCATGAATCAAGGACCATGGATTCCTGACAACAAAAATGCAAGAGAAATAAAGAAAACACACAAATTACAATGGCAATGGAAGAAAGGTATACATGGCAGAACAGAAACTCTGTCTAAAAGATGAAAAAAACAAACATACAACAAATGCAGATGTCAATGTGTATTATTAATTCTTTAGTTTCTATATAAACCATGAAGGTACTATTTACCAGTCACTTGTCAAACCCTCAATGTATAACTAAGTAGATGGACTCAGGTGTGTATGTGTGAACTGATATGAAAAGATATGATCTTTTTAAAATTTTTTATTAATTACACTTTATTCACTTTGTATCCCCCGTGTGGTTCCCTCCCTCCTCCCGTCCCAATCCCTCCCTTCCTCCACCTTCTGCATGCATGCCCCTACCCAAGTCCACTGATAGGGGAGGTCTTCTTTTCCTTCCTTCTGATCCTAGTCAATTGGGTCTCACCAGGAGTGGCTGCAGTGTCTTCAACTGTGGCCTGGTAATGCGCTTCACCCTCAGGGGGAGGTAATTAAAGAGCAGGCCAATCAGTTCATGTCAGAGACAGTCCATGTTCCTATTACAATGGAACCCACTTGGATACTGAACTGCCATGGGCTACATTTGTGCAAGGGTCTTAGGTTATCTCCATGCATAGTCTTTGGTTGGAGTATCAGTCTAAGGAAAGACCCCTGTGCTCAGAATTTTTGGTTCTGTTGCTCTCCTTGTGGAGTTCCTGTCCTCTCCAGATCTTACTATTTCCCACTTCTTTCCTAAGATTCCATGCACTCTGCCCAGAGGTTGCCCATAAGTCTCAGCATATGCATTGATAGTCTGCAGGGCAGAGCTTTTCAGAGGTCCTCTGTGTCAGGCTCCTGATTTGTTCCCTCTTTTCTCCTTCTTCTGATGTCCATTCTCTTTGCCTTTCTGGATAGGAATTGAGCATTTTAGCCAGAGTCCTCCCTCTTGATTAGTTTCTTTTGGTGTACAGATTTTAGTACGTTTATCCTGTATTATATGTCTATATGAGTGAGTATAAACCATGTGCATCATTCTGCTTCTGGAATAGTTCACTCAGGATGATCCTTTACAGATCCCACCATTTACCTGCAAATTTCATGATTTCCTTGTCTGTCATTGCTGAGTAATATTCCATTGTGTAGATATACCACAATTTGTGCATCCATTCCTCCACTGAGGGGCATCTGGGCTGTTTCCAGCTTCTGGCTATTACAAATAAGGCTGCTACAAACATGGTTGAGCAAATGTCCTTATTGAGAATTTTTTGGGTATATGCCTAGAAGAGGTATAGTTGGATATTGAGGAAGCGATATTCCTAGTTGTATGAGAAAGTGCCAAATTGCTTTCCAGAGTGGTTGTAAAAGTTTACATTCCCACAAGCAGTGGAGGAGGGTTCCCCTTTCTCCACAACCTCTCCAGCATGTGTTGTCTCTTGAGTTTTTTATCTTAGCCATTCTGATGGGTGTAAGGTGAAATCTTAGGGTCGTTTTGATTTGCATTTCCCTGATGGCTAATGAGGTTGAGCATTTCTTTAAGTGTTTCTCTGCCATTCTATATTCCTCTATTGAGAATTCTCTGTTTAGCTCTGTACACCATTTTTAATTGGATTACTTGATATTTTGCTGTTTAACTTCTATATAGTTATTTATATATACTGGGTATTAGTCCTCTGTCAGATATAAGGTTGGTGAAGATCCTTTCCCAATCTGTAAGCTGTCCTTTGGTTCTGATGACAGTGTCCTTTACTTTACAGAAGCTTTTCAGTTTCATGAGGTCCATTTATTGATTGTTGATCTTAGAGCCTGTGCTGTTGGTATTCTGTTCAGGAAGTTGTCTCCTGTGCTAATGAGTTAAAGGCTATTCCCCACTTTTTCTTCCAAGCAGTTTAGTGTGTCTGGTTTTATGTTGAGGTCTTTGATGCACTTGGACTTTAGTTTTGTGCAGGGTGATAAGTATGGATCTATTTTCATTTTTCTACATGTAGACATCCAGTTAGACCAGCACCATTTGTTGAAGATGCTGTCTTTTTCAATTGAATGGTTTTGGCATCAAAAAATCATGAGTCCATAAGTGTGTGGATTTATGTCAGGGTCTTCTATTTGATTCCATTGATCCTCCAGTTGATTTATATGCCAGTACCATGCAGTTTTTAGTATTGTTGCTCTATAATACAGCTTGAGATCAGGGATGGAGATACCTCCTGAAGATCTTTTACTATAGAGAATTGTTTTAGCAATTCTGGGTTTCTTGTTGTTCCATATGAAGGTGAGAATCTTTCCTTCAAGGTCTGTAAAGAATTGTGTTGGCAATTTGATGGGAATTGCATTGAATCTGTAGATTGCTTTTGGTAAAACGGCCATTTTTACTATATTAATTCTGCCAAGCCATGAGCATGGGAGATCTTTCCATCTTCTGATATCTTCTTCTAATTCTTTCTTCAGAGACTTGAAATTTTTTTCATACAAGACTTTGATTTGCTTGGTTAGGTTCACACCAAGGTACTTTATGTACTTTGTGGCTATTGTGAAAGTTGTTGTTTCCCTAATTTCTTTCTCGGACCTTTTGTCTTTTGTATACAGGAGGGCTACTGATTTTTTTGAGTTAATTTTGTATCCAGCCACGTTGCTGAAGGTGTTAATCAGCTGTACGAATTCCCTGGTAGAATTTCTGGGGTCACTCAGGTACACTATCATATCATCTGCAAATGGTGATAATTTGACTTCTTCCTTTCCAATTTGTATCTCCTTCAATTGTCTTATTGCTCTAGCAAGAACTTCAAGAATAATGTTGAAGAGATATGGAGAGAGTGGGCAGCCTTGCCTTGTCCCTGATTTCAGTGGGATTGATTTAAGTTTCTCTCCATTGAGTTTGATATTGGCTATAGGCTTGCTATATATTGCCTTTACTGTGTTCAGGCATGTGTATTGTATTCCTGATCTCTCCAAGACCTTAAGCATGAATGGATGTTGGATTTTGTCTAATGCCTTTTCAGCATCTAAGGAGATGATCATGTGGTTTTTCTCCTTCAGTTTGTTTATGTGGTGGATTTCCATATATTGAACCACCCCTGCATGCCTGGGATGAAACCTACTTGGTTGTAGTGGATGATATCTTTGATGTGTTCTTGGATTCGGTTTGCAAGTATTTTGTTGAGTATTTTTCATCGATGTTCATGAGGGAGATTGGCCTGAAATTCTCTTTCTTTGTTGGGTCTTTGTGAAGTTTAGATACCAAGGTGACTGTGGCTTCATAGAATGAGTTTGGTAGTGTTCTTTCTGTTTCTATTTTGTGGTATAGTTTGAAGAGTACTGGTGTTAGCTCTTCTTTGAAGGTCTGGTAGAATTCTGTGCTGAAACCATCTGGCCCTGGGCTTTTTTTACATGGTAGACTTTTGATGACAGCTTCTATTTCCTTAGGGGATATAGGACTATTTAATTGGTTTACCTGGTCTTGATTCAGCTTTGGCATGTATAATCGGTCAATTAAATTGTCCATTTCATTTAGATTTTCAAATTTTGTGGCATATAGACTTTGGAAGTAAGACCTAACTATTGTTTGGATTTCTTCAGTGTCAGTGGTTATGTCCCCCTTTTCATTTATGATTTTGTTGATTTGGATAGTTTCTCTCTGCCTTTTAGTTAGTTTGGCTAAGGGTTTGTCTATCTTGTTGATTTTCTCAAAGAACCAGCTCTTGGTTTCATTGATTCTCTGAATTGTTTTATTTGTTTCTAATTTATTGATTTCAGCCCTGAGTTTGATTATTTCCAGCCTTCTACTCCTCTTCGGTGTGTCTGCTTTTTTTTCTAGGGCTTTTAAGTGAGCCATTGATTTGCTTGCATGAGATGTTTCGAATTTCTCCTTGAAGGCCCTTAGTGTTATGAACTTTCCTCTTAGCACTGTTTTCATTGTGTCCCATAAGTTTGGGTATGTTGTGCCCTCATTTTCATTTAATTCTAGGAAGTCTTTAATTTCTTTATTTCTTCTCTGATGCAGCTGTCATTTAGTAGCAAGTTGTTCAGTTTCCATATGTGTGTAGGCCTTTTGCTATTTTTGTCATTGAGGTCCAGCTTTATTCCATGGTAATCAGATAGGATACAAGGGATCATTTCAATCTTCTTGTATCTGTTGAGTCTTGCTTTGTGACCAACTATATGGTCTATTTTGGAGAAGGTTCCATGAGGTGCTGAGAAGAAGGTAAATTCTTTTGTGCTTGGGTGAAAGGTTCTGTAGATGTCCGTGAGGTCCATTTGATTCATGACCTTTATCAGAGTTACTGTTATTGTTTCTTTGTTTAATTTCTGTTTTGTTGACCAGTCCATTGTTGAGAGTGGGGTGTTGAAGTCTCCCACTATTAATGTGGAAAGGTCTATTGTTGTTTAAGTTTTATTAAAGTTTCTTTTACAATTGTCGGTGCCCTTGCATTTGGGGCATAGATGTTCAGGATTGTGATATCTTCCT